CACACACACACACACACACACACACACACGCGCGCGCGCGCAAACACACACACACCACTCACAAAACACTCAAGGAACCCAGGCGTCCGCGGGACGAGGGAGCCCCCGGTGTCTGTCTGTCTGTCTGTCTCACACACACACACGTCCGGGAGAGAGAGGGACCCTAGGCGCCTGAGACCGAGACACACACACACACACACACACACACACACACACACACACACACACGTGCGCGGAGATGGCAACAGCTCAGGGAAGCGCATGTTCCCCGCCCTCCCCCGGGGTGTGTGTATGTGAGACGGTGTGTGTGAGTGTGTGTGTGCACAGCACGGGGTGTATAGTGCCTCCAGCTCTGCCCCTGTAGCTACCCTTTGTGATGTGGGTTAGTGTGTGGGGGGATGCACAGCCCAGCGCAGTGTGTGTGTGTGTGTGTGAGAAGGGGTGTGTACCAGAGAGTCGGAGAGTATCTGTATGTCCCCATCTCCGTGTCAATACCTACTCATCGTGGGGTGTATGTGTGTGAGAGGGAGTGTGTAGCTTGGGATGGGGGAGTGTATGCATGTGCTCAGCTACAAGTCAGAGAGAGAGAGAGAGAGAGAGTGTGTGTGTGTGTGTGTGTGTGTGTGTGTGTGTGTAGGCTTAGGTGTATGTCTGTACCTACTCTTCACTGTGTGTGTGTCAGTATGAGCTTGTGTGCACCCAAGTGCTTGTGTGGTGCCCCTGAGCGTGCATGTTTCCAAGGATGTGCATTTGTGTGTGTGTGTGCGTGCGTGTGTGTATCTCCAGCTCTATGTCCGTAGGCACCCTTTGTAATGCGTTTGCTTGAGGGAGTGTGTAGCTCCGGGAGTGGAGGGGGGAAGTCTGTCAGTAAGTGTGTGCATGGGAATGAGTCAGAAATTGTGTGTGCGTGTGTGTGTAGCTTCAGGTCTGCGCCTGAACTTGCTTCTTGTTGTGTGTGTGTGTATGTGTGTGTGTGATATGTCCAACTCAGTGTCTGTGGACACTCTTAATGGTGTGAGTGTGTGTGGGGAGGGAGGTTGTGTAGCACAACATGTCTGCAGCCACAGTGTGTGCATGTGTGTATGTGTGTGTGTGCATGCATGTGTGTGTGTGTGTCCAGCTCTGTGTCTATAGGCACCCTGTGTGGTTCATGCATCTGAGAGGCAGCATGTAGCTCCTCTGTGTGTGTACCTGTGTGTAATCTCCAACTCAGTGTCTCCACACACCCTTCGTGGTGTGAGCGTCTGAGTGTGCATCAGGAGCAGTTGTGTAACCCAAAATCTGTCTACAGCCACAGTATGCAAGGCAGAGTCTCCAGTTGTGCATGTGTGTGTATGAATGCATGCATGTGTGTGTCCAGCTCTGTATCTGCAGGCACCCTGTGTAGTTCATGTGTGTGAGGCGTGTGTAGCTCGTGTGTGTGCACACAATATGTCATGTGTGATTCCTTTTTTTGCATGCAGTAGGGAGGACACTCAGTGGCAATGCGTGTGTGTGTCTGCACATGCATGTGCACATGGTTGTGCCAGAGCAGACAGTGTGTAGCTGTGAGGGGAGGTGTAGCTGTATATGTGTGTAAGTTCACCTGTGAACGTGAGTCCAGGGCTGCCCAGACCTGTTGCTGCGTGTGCAGAGCTGCATGCCCAGCCTTGTGCAGTGTGTGTGTGACCAGGGTGGCGTGTTCCTGCCATGTGCACCCAGCACCCAGGCCCAGCTTGGGAAACTGAGGCACAGCCCAGGCATCTGGGAGGACTCCCCGCAGCCCTGGAGCCTGGTGTGCATGCATGTTGTGGTGCCTGCATGCTTGCATATGCTGCACAAGCATGCATGGGAGTGCATGGGCAGTGCACATGAGGGTGCTGTACGTGTGCATAGGTGTGCACACCCAAGTGCATGTGTGTGTTGCAAGCTGTGTGTTTTGAAGCACACATGTACATGGTCATGTGTGTGTGTGTGTGTGTGTGTGCTTGCATACATGTGTTTCAGGGCATGCGTACATGAGTGTGCAATGCACACATGTCCTTATTGTATGTGCATGCTGCAGGCCAGGTGTTGCAGTAAATGCGTGTGCAATAAATGCGTGTACAGAGGAGGGGGGTGTTCTGCAAGGCATGTAATGTATGTTGCACACGTGTGTGTGTCTTTCACCCTGGCAAGGACATCCCACCCACATCAATCACTATGAAACGCAACACACACCCACGATGGGGTGCATAAGTGTGTGCACGAACAGGTGCCAGGTGTGGGGCACACCGAGCAGTCAGTGCATGTGCAGAGACTCAGACCCTCACACAAGTCACCCCCCCATACATACACACATAACTCCCATACACACACACACACACACATCCAAGCCTCACACACACACACTGAGGCACCCCCCGTGCATACATGTGCATGCAAACCCCTATGCAAACTCATGGTGCATACACACATCCCTCCCACCCAGATAGGGTGTGTGTGCATGTGCGTGTGCGTGGGCCGCATCCTGTCACCATAATTTATGGCTCTCATCCCTGCCTGATCGATGGTGGGAATTAGCGCAGCTACGGCTCCCCCCCCCCCCCGCCCGGGGGGGGGGGGGGGGCTGGGACCCCGGATCCCCCGCCCAGACACTCTCCTGGCCCAGTGTGTTTGTGTGTGTGCAGAAGTGCACGTGTGTGTGCACTGGCATGCATGCATTGAGTAGGCACATGAAGCTTGCACACACACAAGTAGGCACACATGCTTGCCCAATGGGTAGGCCCACACACCTTGCACACGCATGCGAGTCAGCCCAGGTGCCTTGCGCATACATACAAGTCAGCCCAGGCACCTTGCAACATGCCTGCATTGCCAACACGTTTGGCACATGTATGCATGGGTAAATACATGCAGCTTGCACACATGCAAGTAGGCACACATGCTTGCACATGCCTGGATAGATACATGCATCCCACACACCTTGCACAGACACAAGTGGGCCCACAAGCCTTGCACACATGCCTGAGTAGGTTCACCTACCTTGTCCACACATAAATGGGCACATGGGCCTGCACATGCATGAGTAAGCACGTACCTGAATAGGGCTCACATGCCTTGCACACATGCGTGAGTAGGCACATCACATGCATGAGTAGGCACACACATCTTGCACACATGTACCACTAGGCACACATGCCTGACCCAGCAGGCCCACACCCACTCTGTATTGCACGTTGCACACACCTTGAGGCATGAGGGATGGGGGAACACCTGCCCACATGTAGGTACACACTGCACACACCAGCCCAAGGCAGGCTGGGCACAGTTTGCACACCAATTATGTAGGGCACACAAAATACACAACCCCTCTCCCCATGCCCATGTGTCGGAGACAGGCTGCTTTGCATGTAGACCACCCCCCCTGCACATGCACACACGTGTTTGAGTGTGCACAGCTGCTCCGTGCTCCTCTCAGCCTTGTCTACCTTCCTCCGGGTCTGGTCACAGCTGCTGGTCCAGTCCTTGGGTCCATCTGTGTCCCTGTTCAAGCATCCTGGGCACAGAGAGGCCATGAGATGGAGGCTGGCACATGCAAGGTACATGCATGCACGTGCCCGCGTGTGCAAGGACCTACTTGCGCACACAAGGGCCCACATGCACACAGGGACTGCTGCACACACCAGTACACAGACAAGGGGCCATGCACATGGGAGATGCTGCACACTTGTATGTGCACCATGCTGAACAGCCTCCTGCACACGTGTGTACCCCTGCTGTCTTGTCATACTCAACCCCCCAGGGCCTATCCTGCCCAAAGTGGGTGGAATTGGCAGGGGCTGGTGTGTATATGGGGCTTGGATTTAACAACGCACATATGCAGGAGGGTGGAAGGGCCACACATGTGCTTGGTATGCACTAGTGTGTGCAAAGCCACCAGCACCCTTGCCTGTGTGCAAGGGCACATGTCCCTCTGTGTGTGTCCAGGGCTTTGGGCCTGAGCACACACTGTAATGGCCGCACATCCCCTTCGGTGGGGAGGGGGGTCCAGGCAGTGCCATATATACACATGCATGTGTGTTCACGTTTGTGTGGGCCAAGGTCCAGGGCGCGTGTGCCCTGGACCTTGGCATATATGTGTGTGTGCTGGTGGGTGATTGTGTTCCAGGCCCCTGGGTTGTATGTGTGTGTGTGTGTGCGCACACGCGGGTGGGCCCCTAGTGTTTGCACACACGCGTGTCAGGGAGGTTGGGGCTGGGGGATCGGGTATCCCATCTTTAAACCTTGCTGACTCCCAGCTGCCGCCCCCTTTACACACACACACACGCGCGCGCGCGCGCGCACACACACCAGTTCGGCGTCCGGCACGGAGGCGGGGCCGGAACCGGGCGCGAACTGGGTCTGGCCGCAGCAACAACCAATCAGAGC